TCGACCCGGACCATCATTCATGGGACCAGCAGGAGCAGGCAACCAGGTGGACCACGCAGCCAGCAAACAACAGAGACCTGTGCTAGGAGTATTCTCTAACACGTTGACAAAACAAAAGATTGCTGTTTTGTTTTGTTTGCTGTTTCGGTAGAATACATTTTTTACACGCAAAATTTCTCCTCTTAACTTTGTTTTTACATTGGTGCATACGCCTCTATTATAAAGAAACAATTTGGCTGGAACAGCAAACTTTTGTGAGCTATTTTAGAGAACGTTTTTCTGCGTCACGACGAGGACCATCACGGGCAGGAGGACATGACCAGCGCGGCTGTCCTGCGGTCCTGTTGACTAGCGCTATTCCTGGTTTCGGCCTCGGCCGCTGCTTGCAATTCACAGTGAGGCACGCCCCCCCCCCCAGCTCCCTTCATTCAACACGTCATTAGGTTTTGTTTCGAGGGATCCTCTCGTCCCGTCCGCCCCAAAACCCGTCCCTACGGTTGCTGCGGTCCCTACTGACGATACCGCCGTGCCCGGCCCGGCAGTGCGCCTGGTCGCACGACCACTACTTGCAAGGGCGGCTCTCTCTCTCTCTCTCTCTCTCCATTTCTTTCAGTGGCGCCCATCGTAGGGTTACGGTGGTGACGAGTCACCACCGTCTATCAGCTAAGGTAGGTAGGTAGGGCAAGCAGAAGGTAGGTGAGCAAGGGGTAGGGGAAGAAAGGGTAAAGAGAAAAGAGAGAGGGAAAGAGAGGAAAAAGAAAGAAAAAGAGAAGAGAAAAGAGAAGGAAAGAAAATAAGAGGAAAGGGAGGCATTAATAATAATAACAGTCCGGCCCCGTCCCCGCAGCTCGGAGCTGTGGCCCAGCCGAATCAAACAGCACCAACACTGCGGCCTGATTGCATTTCCCATCAGCTGGTTCAACAACTTGGCTTGACACAAAGCATCGCATATTTAGTGGCATGCAACTTGCAATTTTAACGAAATTTTCCTCTTACTTTTACCATTTATGAAGTTAAACTTTTACGCCCAGTTCAGCAAGCCTTTTCATGTAAAATTTTTCGCTCGCTTCGCTCGCGATTGTTTTCCAATTTCATCGCACTTGGGGAGCTATGTTTTCCTCAATCGGTGCGCTCGCGACCTTACGGCTCTTTGCTACGGAGACTAATTTTAATCACTCTTAGTTGCTTCCTATTTGCAAACAATACTACTCTTATAGTTTACCAAGGCAAGTAACAAAAAACACAAAAATTTTCGCTCGCTTCGCTCGCGGATTCCTCTTACGTTGGCTCTTTCCGCGTAAATTATTGTATTAGTATTTGGTACTCGCGGTCAGTTATAGTAATACATTTCGCAAATTTTGTAAATTTTGTAGGTGCTTCAATCTAGCCACACCCTCAATCAGGGAAAATAGGGTATAAGTTGGCGTTTAATCACGTAAAAAATGAGCCCCTAAAAGTAGGCAACCCCAATGATCCGCCCCAAAAATTGGCCGTGAAGGTAGGTAGGTACGCCTTAAAGGTAGGTAGCAGTCACCTCAGTCACCACCGTCTTCAGATACGATGGGCGCCACTGCTTTAAACTAAAGAATTTTGTTGAACTAACGAAAATTTTTATTTGTTACAGCTAAAATTTTGTTAATTTCAGCTGCGAGAAGATTTCGTTTGCACAAAGAAGTGGTTTTCTGAGTGTGGGGCAGCCCGCCCGCTCCGAATCATGGGTTGCTGCGTCGCTGCAGGTTTCCCCAACGCACATGCCCACCACTGAGATGGAGGGAGAGAGAGAGAGAGGGGTGTGCAAAGAAAGAGACCGCTGGACGCCGCTGCAGCGCCATGGCTGCACGCAACTGGACGCCGCTGGACGCCGCTGGACGCCGCTGGACGCCGCTGGACGCCACTGGACGCCACTGGACGCCGCTGGACGCCGCTGGACGCCGCTGGACGCCGCTGGACGCCGCTGGACGTCGCTGGACGCTTGCCCGGCCACTGAATGCCGTCCAATCCCCATACTCCGGGCCTGCCAGAAATACCTGAACGCTCCGAGTGCAGCTCCGCTCGCTCCGCACCGGCGACGTCGGCCACGTCGTTACTTTTAAGGGCATCCAGTATCGTTCGCTGATAGGCGAGTGAATATGAGGCCTGCGAGGGCGTGCGTATGCAGCGGCACTTTACTTTTCTATTTATGTATGTATGTATGCAAGCGTGTGTGTGTGTGTGTGTGTGTGTGTGAGTGTGGGGGGTATCTTTGTGCCAGTGGAATGGCCAGCAGCAGCGAGGGGTAGGAGGGGTAAGCAGGATGTGTGTGGGCTGCTGCTGCAAGAGGGTTAGAAAAGGGAAGGGGGGGGGGGACGCAACCATGGATGAAGTTTGAAGCACTTGTTTAGAGGTCCCCCGGGATCAGGGACTGCTGAGCCATCATCAAAATGTGTTGTGCAGGCGATGGTGGTGGTGGCGCCCGAGAGGGGGGCTGGGCTGGAGGCGAGGGAGTAGAGGGGCTGGGAATAGTGGGGGTGAGTGGGGTGAGTCTGTGCGGAGCAGGAGCATGCCGGGAGAGGGGGAGGGAGAGGGGACCTGCTTCAAGGTCTATGGGAGAGGTGGGCAACACACAACCCCAAACCGGTTTCCGCAATATAAATATTAATTGAGAGCAGCGCGTAAAGCGGTATTTCCCCGGAGCCAGCTCACCATCACGGGCACACCTAACGCCCGCTCCTCACCCCTCCCCCTCCCCCTCCCCCTCCTCCTCCTCCTGCTCGCCGCCCTCGTGTGTTTCCACGCCTACCAACAAAGGGCGCAGTTCTACACCAGCACGGCCGCCAGGATCCGGGCGGAGCGGGGCTGAGCGGGCTGAGCGGCGGACGTGGTGTATTTACATAAAACCACAATCCTCGGGCCTGCCCCGCCCCCGCTCCACCGCCCCGCCCGCACGCCAGCCCGCCCGCACCGCCCCGTGCGCGGGCCGATGAGTCCGGGCGACAGTGTTGATGGGCGCGTACGTCGGATTTGCTGTTCTCTGCTGGCTGACCAATACAGTCCGTTCCACAAGGTGGGGCCATCTTCGTCATATGTGGGTCATTGTGTTCCTGTTCGGCCCCGGCTCTCTGCGGTCCTGTAGGGCAACATCAAGAATTAAACACCCTGGAGCCGGCATTAGGCAAGCCTCCCCTTTCCTGGTAATCCCGCTCGATTGCCTTGAGAGTGTCTATCTTATAATCGACCGAGAAACCCCCTTCACAGCCGTGTAAGGCCCGACAGCGGAAAGTGCGCCAGCGAGAGAACTCGGCAGTCCGAGAATAATGTGAGGCCAGTAAGCTCCCGCCAGTATAAGACGATTAAATATTTCAGCGTTAGCAGCGAGTGAGGGGATAGAGTAAGGGACAGTGGGAAGGATGGTAGGAGAGAGGCCCTTCTTAACCAAAATTAGGACTGGGATTAACAGAAAAAAGAGGTGTGCTATGGGTCAGCAAAATGTTTGTTAATGTAGAACCAGCATTTATTTATTTTTTTTATTCTGAAAATACTGAAAAGCTGTTACTGGGCATGACAAAAACTATTTCTGAGCAGCTCGGCTTTTTCACCAAACGTTTCCTCATTCCTGGCGACAGTCCAGTCCTGCATTTCTGGCCAAAAAAAAAATCAACTGCTACTATATCATCCGAAATTTGGCTGGAATTTGCAAACGCCCCATTTTGCGTGATTTTCACTGGAAGTTGAGTAAAGAAACCCAAAACTTTAATATGTGTTTGGGAATCGTCATAATGGGCGCACTGCACAAAACCTTAGCTTCCCTCCGACATCAAGTATTAACCGCTACAGCTACTCTCAGCGTAGTGCGTCTCTCGGAGCCTCGTGCGGCGGACCAACAGACACCACAGACTGGCACAGCATCGGCAGCGGCCCAACAGACACCACAGACTGGCACAGCATCGGCAGCGGCCCAACAGACACCACAGACTGGCACAGCATCGGCAGCGGCCCAACAGACACCACAGACTGGCACAGCATCGGCAGCGGCCCAACAGACACCGCAGACTGGCACAGCATCGGCAGCGGCCCAACAGACACCACAGACTGGCACAGCATCGGCAGCGGCCCAACAGACACCACAGACTGGCACAGCATCGGCAACGGCCCAAAGCCCTCCCGACGAACTCATGCATAATAAGGTGCCTGTAAGCTGTTGAAGCCGCGCGCGTGAGACTGCTGTCGTTTTAAAGGGGACCAGTTTTGTTGTCATTATTGCCACGGCATTCACGCCCCCTCAGCCCCTTCTCCCATTTCCCGTCCTCCTGTCATGGGGTTTCAAGTGGGTAAGATACGCGCACATTGGAAAACTCTTCTCGGGTCTCTCCCTGGTTGTTTCAAACTAGGTCTGATTATTGATAAATATTCTTTTGAGAGGGTATTGAGTTTAAATTTAATTTAAGTCATAGTAGAAAAATGATAGCAATAGAAAATGTATTACATATTAAAGTTTACCATGATAATGTACAAGTTAATTCAAGTCAACGTGGGGCACGAACCCATGGAATAATCAATTATATATAAACATTTGTCATAGAGAAAGAAAACGTTGACAAACACAATAAAGCAAATCTATATTTTAATCATGGAAAATTATTTAGATAACTGTATTTAAGTTCAATGCTATTTACGAAGTTAAACGTTACATTGATAGAATACAATCAATACACAATTAGTCATTTATATGCCTTTACACATCTATCACTCAGAATCAACACTTAAATTGAAGCGAATAGGAAATACTAGTGATACGAGCATTTGGGTTGAATATCAAACAATATAGAAAAGCATTGCAAGAAATATAACCATTTCAGGGTCAACCCAACACTATAGAACCAAATAACAAGTAGGCACACTTTTAGGCATAAGCAAAAGAATCACAAAATAAACACACACAGAACACTTAATACACTTGACACAATACATTATAAACCTGGGCCCAGGGTAGGTGTAGGGCGCAAACAAGCGCAAAGACTCACCAAATTTTCATTAGCAGTGTGACGTCACCATTCAGAATTCACTCTCACAACAAATAGCACACAATTCACCACTTCCACAGCACTAATCAATTTTCATATAATGCCATTTAATATTTAGAAATACAAGAGGCATTTAATTTAGACACTTTCATTTTTACACACTTTAGCACATCTTTTGAGGTTGAAGTTAGACACATGGTGGATCTTGAGGTTAGGGCCGAAGGCCCTTTGGGCCTAGTTCAAGGTCACATCTTGATGGCGGATAGAACGGCCGGCGGCAGGGGAGTGGATATTCTGAATCTAGCCACTCATGGTAGAGGTTATTGTCCAGAACCGCTCACACACGAGCTTGGCTACAGCCATGGTTACACCGAGCACGTAGAACTTGTGCACTTGTGCTAATCGGACACGGGGTCTCGTCTGAGCACAACAATCCCCGAAGTGAACTATTATCCAACCCAGACCGGTAGTCGTGGGCGGAATGACGAGCCGGCAGACGAACTCAGCTGATCTGGTGTCCAGCTGTTGTGAGCGACTGGAGGCGTGTGCTGGGTGGATGTGAGGGGAGCTGGTGTGTGAGGGGTGGCCTACCTGCACGGCGGCAGGCACGGCTTTCTGAGGAGAGCGTGTCACTCCCTCACCTAACCACTTTGCTCATTCTATAAAACTATACAGGCTGGTCGCTGAGCCCCGTACTGTGCATGTCGACTTGTATTCTGGACCGCACGCTGCCGTGCTTGCCTGCTGTCTCGCACCACGACGCCTTCTCTGAGGATATCTCTTTAGCGCTGTTCGAGTGAGCGAGCGAGCGAGCGGGCGGCAGCGGGAGGGTAAAAGAGCATGCTAAAGGTATTTTTAGGCGAAAATGAGTGAACCTAGGTGTTATTTCGAATGGAAGAAGTGCAAAGCATTGTTATTCTGTAAAAATATTGATGCCTTTGGAGCAAGCCTCGAAGATTAACATTTACGTGAGGCAGTTTGAGCAATCTTCTTTGGCTACATGGTGGCTTTTATTCTGGCTGAGATTTGTTTGTACTTCTTTCCTTTTTCAAAAATGTATTTTGTTCACTCAGTTTGCCCTTAAAATACTGATAATTTACTCTTTTACCCTCCCACTCCCGCTCGCTCGCTCGCTCGCCCGCTCGACCAACGCTAAAGAGATATCCTCT